TGGTCAGGGTAAAGCAGGAGATCCACAAGAGGTAGTCTCTCTCGAAAATAAAACCTTAGAGTTTCTGTTTTGACATAAAAATTGTCGCATGAGCTATTCACAACTCGGTAATCCCATGCATCACCTAGTAGTGGACACAAATCTCTTCTAGAGTTGATCATGTAGACAGTTCTACTTTTAAATTGCTTATAAATTTCACCCGCATTAAGCAGTTTCCTGATATTACTTCATCTACATCAGAGTGAATTTTCAGTCATATTGAAATAGCACTGTCTGTTTTGCTTCCACCAGAGGTAAGGTTTTCCTTTATACTGACAGCTAATTCTATCAATATTCCGTTGTTATCTGGTACACTCCTAGTGTCTACAATATCTTCTGGTTGTTGTATTCATCATATTTCCTGTCCCAACCTAAATTAAAGAAAAATGCATTAATGACTATATATTACTAAATGTAAATGCATGTATTTGTTTTCATTAAAAAAGGTCATAATGATGCCTGATGTCCTGTATGGACAGCCAGGGTCAGCAGATTTCAAGTAAAACCACTGAACTGCAACCTGTACCTAGCGACTTTTCAATGTAAGCCTTGATCACATAAGCAATAAATGGAAGGCAAGTGAAAAACAGGGAGATGTCATAACCATTCTGCCACCAATCCTTAGTATTATGAAAAAATATGTTGTTGAATGTTTACTTCCTAAGTTAGCACAAAGATTTTAATTTTGCTCTTTTATAGCAACTTTAAATTGGATCTTGAAGGTCAGTAGCAAAGTTTGTTTCAGTTACTATATGTCAAGAAGTGCTTTCCAGAAACATGACATCGTTTATATTAGCCTCCAAATATGCTCATTAATAGCTGCACATGTCATCACTTGTCTATGAGATGTTGATCTTTATGGAGTGTTTTAATCTGAGTGAGTGAATTTTAATTATGGTACATGTAAATTATATGGATGAACTACTGAAGAAAAAAAGCCTTGAAACAATGCGAACCAGGCATGAGATGCACTGCCTACACTGTATTTGACTGTTTGTAACTTCATAAACTATTACAACACAACCAATGACGTCATAATGGTTAATCTTGACAGTGGTCTGAACATGTATAAGACATTGGAGAATCTTCATGTGACACAATCACTCATCAAATCAGAGGGCAGAATGAGTCACCAGTTATAAAACCTAATTAAATATTTCACATCAGAATCAGAAAGGTGTAACCATATTATTGAAACATAGTCTTACAAAACATTAGGTTATAAATCTGGGCTCAAATTACAACATCTAAGAGTACAGTGTTGTTTGGATCAATATTATTTTCGTCTATAACAACTGGATACAATCCTTCTTTCCAGGATCTAGGAACTGTCGATGCAGTACGTCTCATGGGTGGCAAAGGCAGCTCATTGAGGTCTCTAAAATAAGATTTAAATAACATACTGAATTAACAAATTTTGGATAAACCTTGTGCAAGGCAAACTACCTTTATAATCATGTCCATCTTCGCGGATTTTCAATTTAGCATAAAAGCGTACTTAAAATTTTATACATATATTTTGAGAATCTACTATAGTGAACAATCATCAATTTTGTATCAATACTGAACTCATCAGGTTGGGAATGTCCTCTCATTTGAGGGAATATGTGTTGAAACTCCGAGACATCCTCTCATTACTGAGGATTTTGTGTCTCAACTGAGACACATTTGTGTTAGAATTCAGACACATTTGTGTAAAAGTAAGTTATAAACTGCTTTTAAAAATTGACCACTTAAAAAGGCATATTTTCATTCATGGACTGATCAGCTGATATACTGATACCATCAGCTACATTTACAAACAAAAAGTTTTAAATTGTTTTGCCTAGTTTTTCCAAAGTGATGAACAGTACCCCTATTCAATCTTTTACTTAACAATGGAGCCCTTTTGTTAGATTTACACAGGCGAGTGTGTTCTACATATAGATTCACACACCTGTGCATGATCTGGTTGTGACTGCCCATAGGATTATAATGTGCAGTTCATGGTTGAATAATTGACAAAACAGACAACGTATATTGATTTTTTTGTTTTTGTTTACAAATGTAGATTATGACATTATGACTTCGATGTATGAACATGCCATTTTGCCTAGTTATCCCCACCTTGTTATAGTTTTGACTTACCTGTACACAAACATGTCCGAGCTCAGACATAAAAAAAATCTTCTATAATGTCAGGATGTGTCAGAGTTCCAACGCATTCTCTCAGATGAGAGGATATATATTCCTAGGCTACAGCAGAGACGTATATAACACACGTCTCTGGTGTGTGGAATACAAAATACTTTCCAATATGTGGAAACAGTGTTCAACGCGACCAAAGACCGCCATTTGACGAAGCTGAAACGTCCGATAGAGATATCTACTAACAACAGCCCAAAAATAAATAGGAATTTCAATAAAACTATGCTGAATAAGTGAGTAATTAACATATCTAACAAGTAGCTCACACTACAAAAAACACTATTAGCTAAGGGTTTCAGTTATGCCATTGTCCCAGACAAAGGTCCAGTTGATGATTTTATTATAGCCACAACACAGGCAATGTAAGAACTAAGGTTGACCAACTGAGGTCAAGTGGCAGGTGTCTTAAAATCGACCAAATTACCAGCAAACAACATATCAAAGGAAGAACGCATTGCACTTAAACAATTCAGCACGAACAAATTTATCATGATTTTACCAGCAGACAAGGGGAAAGCCAAAGTCGCCATGGACACCGACAAATACGAGAGCAAAGTCGTGACGGTGCTCGAAGACAACACTCTAATCTCCTTCTGGTTGTGTTACAAGAACTTCTGTTCTAGTGGTTAATGAAGAGATGGTAAAGGATCAATCAGCTTTTGCGATCAACCATTATGTAGTACAGTCGGAAAAGTTGAAAGTTTTCTTTATCATTTCTTACACTACCTACATAATTACTAGTATGCTTCAGATTGGCTATTTGCCCGATGAAAGTGATCTTGTAGTCATTGAAACGTGCTTCTAAAATCTTCTACTGGTTCTGGTTTAAGAGCTTTTATTCTTTTGACATTACTGACCTTAAGAACACGTGCAGCAAAATCCCCGCGTTAACAGTACCACAATAAGATTTGGTAGCATTTAGAATAGTAGTAAGAATCTTTGCTCACGATTGGACTAAATATTCCTTTTCTTTGTGCGATATGAAGGTGGACGTGTTTGATATTCGTTAGTTTGCCTATTGGTTCTGTTGTTGTATTCCTTGTTCTCATCTGAGAACGTGATATTTCTTACTTGGATAGACCAAGGTTAACATTGCGGGTGTCGTCAATGAAGCCGACGACGCTTACTCTTCCGAAACACCTGGTCATATTCTCCGTGTATCCGTCTTCGTTCAAATCTGTCTTTAGTCAATATTTTGCTCCATATTTATTGATTTTTTATTGAGTTTGGATTATGGTTATGTTGACATGTTGGTATTTTCTTGTCGCTTTTTATCAAAAAGATAGACGAGGCATCAATGAAAACAACCAAGAAAATAACGACATGGTAGCAGCATCTTATTTCAAACAAAAAGACGATGAAACTATGGCAAGATGAAAACAAAGTATCGCTCAACTGGCTTTGTTTGGCTGAAATTGCGTCATCCAAACTAAAGGAAAAGGAATTCTAAATGTCCAAGCCTTTCATAGTCAAGACCCAAGGATACTTCTGACCAAATTTGTCAAAATCTGCTCAGTCGTTCATGACTAGTAACGATTTGTAGAAAAAGTTGACGGACGGATGAAAGACGCCCATAGTATGACATAAGCTTACCGGTCCTTCGGTCCAGGTGAGCTAAGAAAAGAAAGATTTAAAACGAAGGCTACTGAAAAAGTACAAGGAGCACAAGACCAGCAGTTCCGGAAGTGTGTTTTCTGCTTCATCGACGAAATCCATATAAAAAGTTTTGGTCGATCAAAATAAGTAATGCCACGTTCCCAAATAAGAACAAGGTCAAACAACGGAATTATCAGGCATGCTAACAAGATTCAAACACGTCTAGGTTCATATCGCACAAGGGAATAGAATATTCTCCAATGAGAACGAAGACCATATATAACTTCCCCATAATCTTCATCAACTGCATCTCTTTAAAGCTTGCATTGAAAGTTTATCAGTCGGTTGTCGACATCTTGCACGAAAATCGTGATATTTGGAGCAGGCCCTAGAATATCGAATCAACTGAGACATGTTAACATCATACGTAGGGAATGCAGGAGTCTTACTATAAAAAATGGAAAATTAAACATAGGGAAATAAGTATTATTATACATGATTGACACTTATATGGAGGATGTCAAAAAATCTCAACATGAACCTCTAGTGATAAATATGTCGCATGTTACAAGAGCGAACACCGATGTTGTTTGAATATCACGCGAAGGTAGCGAGAGTGGCATACATTCTCAACAAGGAGCTCTCCAATAGTGTTAAAACATCTATCAATATAACGTGCTTAATTATTTTCCCACGGTCCAATATCAATGTGGCATAAAAATATCAGCAGAAGCACGTGCATTCGGTAAGTATTCCTAAATTTCACGCGTTATTCCCTTTCATGATATATTTTCTAACGGAATCTACACGTGAGACAAGGGCATGTACATACATGTACGACCACTGATTCAGCGTATGTTGGTTGAAAGTTATACTATACAAAACTGGTAATACACGAAAGATAATTCTATAATCGATGGGAAATTACTGGCATCACATAGCACAACATCAACGCTAAATGCATGTCAGGCGTTTTAAAATCAAGTTCCGTACCCCGTTTTGCATGAGTCCTAAATCTTGACCTTTTGAATTGTTTGGGTTGACGTTCATGAATTAATTAAGTTGAACATATTTTGTTCTGAAGTGTATCATCAGAATTCTCATTCACCATCATTTTACAACATTCACGTGGGTTTCGCAGTTCTTGTTGATGGTTGTCCGGAGAAAATAATCAGCCCTTTCATTATGAAAAATGGTCGCACCCTCTTTTATTTACTTCTAACATATGTTTATATGCAAATCAGAGTTCACAATACCAGAATGATCAACTGCACATTTGTTTTAAATCTACACTATGAAGAAGACTGCATCCAATTTTCTCTGTTTTTGAAGAATTTACATTTTCGAAATATACTTGTCCAAGGGAGAATACAATTTTAAAAACATATATTTCTATCCTGCATTCTTCCTTTCATCTTCGTAGCTGTGTAGACATCTATTCTTGCTGCATGTCACATACTGATATATATTTAAGAAAAGGATATTTTCCCACATTTGTCATTATCCAGATTGCCGTACCTTCACCAGTTGATCACAATGCCTCCAGCTGAAGTTTTCTTCATCAAGCAATGTTTATGTTTTTCAGTACCTTTTGCTTTAAATTCCTCATTTGCACTATTGTATCAGTGTGAATTAACTTAAATCACTTAAGCAGTCCTCAACTTCATGAAGCTTCCCTTTTTTTACATATTCTGGTAAACATGCATCCTCCTAACATTTAATTTCCAAAAATTTGTAAATTTGTGAAATCAACAATTCGCTTTCATCACACATTTTCCCACACATTCCAACACAGTAAACTAGCAGATATGGCTTTGGAAGATAATATTCCCGTTAAATAAGTCTTTTTTAACCTTCTTCAAATGGAACATATTTCTATTCGTCATCACATTAACAGATGACTATGATAATTTTGTTCTTTTCTGAATCACTAAGAAATTACTATGTATAACAAATGAACAATAAATGTATAAGAAAATGAGGGATTCTTATAATCTCTTAAGTTTTTTCTCTCTTCAATTTGATATGTTTAAATCCGTCATCTTCATATCTGTATAGAAACAGAAGAAAATGACGTTCATTCAAACATTTAATAAATCAATCTCGATTGTATGCATAAGTTTCCACTGATGACAATTGTTTGTGATTATTATATTGATAGCCATTCTATGTTGTTAATTAAAATTCCAATGATCAAGACATGTAAATTGAGGGAAATACAAAAAAGAAATAACTTGATTTTAATCCAGACATTGATCACAGATGTATCAATAATCTCCATTGTCATGAAGTGAGATACTGCCATATATGTCTCTCTCTTTACCTTCATGTCATATTACAGGTACCTGGCACAAAACTACATGTAGATGTAATAAGTGATTTGTGCCAGCTCTCTGTATATTGTATACAATACATATATAGTACATTACCAGCATGTTGGCATACTGGAAATTACAATCCTCAAATCATTGTTACAGTATGCTTTAAGCTGTGTGATTCTTGTAATATAAAGTTAACATCAATATCACAATGTTACAAGGATGAATCATTTCACATACACACAACAGTACATTTGTACTGTTCATATTTCTACGACACAATTTTCAACCCAGTGAAATGTTTAGGTGGCTTTAAAGTGGGTCTGTTAAATACACAGGGATTTCAATGTTGACATCAGAAGGTAGAAAGATAATTATAAAAATGTATATAATATCTCAGTGGTTTGTAAAGAAGGTAACATATGTTTATATATAGAAATGTATTATGTTTATTTATTATTCATTTACTGATAAATTAATCATGATTCTTGGTTAGTTGTATAGTGTTGCTGGTATCTATTCAAAAGTATGAAACATTCCTGCAAAAAGTTTCAAACAAACTTCGACATACATACATATATATATATATCTGTCTGATTATACTATTAAAAAATTTCAAAACTACATCATTTTAGTGTCCACTTGACTGCAGTGATTGTGACAATAGAAACATAATAATAGAGATTCCATGCTAATGTATTGCTCTGTTAAAAAACAGATATCAGCATTTTGTCTCTCAACAAAATTAAAAACTTGTTAATTTAATTAAACAATGTGATTTAAATAATGAAAAAAGAACCAAAAAGAAACATCACCCCACACATCAGTAAATGGTAGATGTTTGATTTTAAAAAATGTCACATCCACAAGCTGCAATTATTTCAGAAGCAGTAAAATGTGACCTTTGACTGATGATGATCAAAATCTAATCAGATGTACATGTAGAAGCTAATGTTACGGAACAACATGAATACTACCGAATTATGGACACCAGCTTCTTGGTTTTAAAAGTGGGAAAGTGTGACCTTTTCCCTTTAAATCTTGATTTTGACTGGTCACCATCAACGTTTAGATATAAACTGAATGAGATATCATGTAAACAAGCTGTTTGCGATGGCAGCGTGCAGACACGCATGAATGGACAGACACTCTGACAGAGATGTTATAGTTTTTCAATGCACAAGAGAGGGGGTTTACAACTTGCACAAGTAGAGTTATATGGCACTGTAATCTGCATTGAAATAAAATTTGAAATTCAAAATTGTATTAAATTTCACATGAAGATTTCTTATCTTTTGTTTAGATACACTACATACACTGTACCAATTAAATTCACTTCAAACAAAAAAAATGCTGAAGGTGATGACAGCTATCTATATATTCGTTACAGCAAACAAAATCACTCATTTAATAGTTTATGATATTTTAAAATGTGATATACAGTATATCAGAAACATGTGCTGTAAAATTAATACACATGATGCAAAAAAGCAAACAATCAGACTGATGAATAACTGAGATCTAGGGCTGCTATCATGAATGTCAGTATCATACATATGTCTATCAATTGAATGTATGTATAAGAGCTTATCTACATTTTATGTAGAACCTTTAATCAGTTTGCATTGCTTTTGAATTTTCTGTTTTAGCAAAATCAAGTTTTTACGTGAGAAATGTTCTCACAGTTCCCTTAATGTTCGACCGACAAATTGGACAGTTTTTCAATGCAAGCGCACATTCTCCACAACAACTTAGATGTCCACAAGGTAAAAAGACAATGGACACTGGAGCTTCAAGACACACCTTGCAGGTCAGTTGTCCTCTCAGAGCAACATTCTCTCTTACAATGTCAGGTTTGGAGGAATCTTCATCTGAACACGACCCTTGAAAATGAAATAAGAAAGATTAATGTTGTATTTGGAATGTCAAACTAGTCAATGCAAACATTCTGTGCCCATGACTGATATTCATGAAACTTTCTCTTAGCATCCTAAGGATCACTCCAAAACTTGTCAAATCAAGCCTAAAATATGTTCTGGTAGCCACCATATTCTTTTAACTTACATTCCCCTCCCATTCTACCATATGGACTTCAACCTTCTACCCAAGCCTCTATGATATTATATTAAACTTCTATCTTATTACCAGATGCAACATCTATCAAAATGTCTCTATTCATACTTGTGCTTGCCCTTGTCCTATTTTTGCCTTCCTCATTTCAAGATGAGAAGGACTGTTCCCTTGCTATAGCATACAGAGATGTAAGACTGGGAAAGAAATTTTAGACTGATGTCAGGAATAAGAGTAACCTTTCTCTTTCCAAAGTATAGAACTATAGATTTTTCAGAAGTTGGCACAATACATTATACTTTGCTGAACCTTGCAAAATTATCCCGAGAGCTAAGATATATCTTACACAGACGTAGTCAATTCTTTTTCGCCTACATTTTTTGACTGTTAATGGTAGTGGCGAGTTTTAAATAACATGCTATTGTAAATGGACCAAGAAATGTGTGTCATATCGGATAAAATTACCATGGGAAGAAAATAAAAGATTAAAATGCAGCAATGAACAGCTTCAAATACAACCTCTTTTTTTTCAATTGGTGCAAGACATGTCTACCTTTTGGCCACTTTGCAGTTGTCATTAGGACTTTAAATCTAATTTTGCCAAAAATATGTCATTATTTTAACATACCATTGACACCATTTTCCTTGCTTTTCTTTCCTGCTCCATTCAAGGCATCGTTGTCATCTTTAGATAAGTTTCCATCATCCATGTCAAATACAACTTCCATCAACTGAACCGCTGTGAATTCGTCACTCTCTGTCAATTTAATTGATAAGACATGAGTAAAAATTTAAAAAGATATTTCAAAATAACTTATCCAATTTATGTCCTTAAGCCACACACACATTAACAGGATTTTATAAAAAGCTTGTAATAAGTAGTAAAAATTTTAGTCTGAATATGTTATTTGACACAAAAGTTCAATGAACACACAAACTTGATTTTATTTAATATTTAAAACTGAAAACATTATTGTAATAATATTTTTTTTTCTTTAATTGTAAGGTATGTTTCCAGACTGTACACATACTTTTTCTATGGATGAGAATACGGATGGCATCTCGGACTTTTACTTGATCAATATTCATTTCCAATATACTCTGCACTGACGGTCTCTGCATCATATCCTCATAGAATTCTGGTTCTTTTCTGGCTGTGGCACCTGATTCTGAATCTATTCAATGACATTCAAAAATCAAACTCCATAAAAATTCCATTATTCTCCTAATTCAAAGCTAGATCCAGAAAAAGGAAATGATTATGTAGCTAACTTAATTTTCTTTATTTTTGTTTTTGGGTTTTTTTGTTTTGTTTTACAAAATGGATAGCAACAATGTTTCTAAACAGTGCTGTTGTTAGTTATTCAATTTGTCACAGTTAATGTATGGAAAAATATATAGGTCCAGGGCCTGAACCTTCTATTTGTATCCACAGACTAACCATGTGATGGTAAGTGTTTTACATATCTATTTCATAAAGGAACTTTCCTAATATCATGAAAGTACATGTATGTCATACAAGTTAAGACAATACAGTTTGATATGAATGTTGTTGAAATTACAATAGTACAGAATTATTCCTATTCCTACAATGGTTGATTTCAGCTACAGGTGAGTTGTACTCCAGTTCTAGTATGAAGTTAAAAATATTTGGGACTACTTTGGATCTTCATTTCTGTATTCTGTTCTCTAAGCATCCAGACAAGTTATATGAAACAAAGTTACGAGATAAATATAGAAGTAAGTATCAGATATACCTACCTGTCTGTAAGTCTGTCTTATGGTGTCGTCTAATTCGGTATTTATCATCAACAGACTGCAACTGTGAAGTAAAATTATATCAAGATATAATAAATCAATGAATATCATAAATCATATGGATTGGATTACGATGCTCTACACACATATTTACATATATTATATAATACCTACATTTAAAGGTATACTCAGTGCTGTGTTATGTAAATTACCTTAGATTGGTCTTCTTTACATTTCAGTGTTTCCTTGATAAAATCAGGTCCAAGCATGTTAAGAATATGAGTGCAATTTGGAGACCATCGTGCATGCTCTGTCCACGGCCGATCTCCATGTTCCCATGCATTCAGTGCAAGTCCACAGTAATAGCAAACCACTGTATCGTCCTTTTCTATAAAGGATAAAGAAAAACAAATCAAGAACAGAAAATTTGAACAGTCCCTCAATATAATAAAACTGAAATGTACATGTTACATGACGAGTGTCCAGCTGTTTGTGCCCATGTACATCTGATTGTAAGGTTGAGATTTCCACCTCAAGTCTAATTACTATTCATATATGATTCTTATGACATCAGTTATTTCTAAATAAAGAATGCGCATATAATGTACACTGTGATTGTGTTTAGATAAGGTTGGGGATCAATCTCCGTAACTCAAGATTACATAATCAGTATTCTTTTGTTATATCAACATTTTTTATATCAGTCTGGATATTATGGATTTCAAGAACATGTAGATTATATAAAAATTGACAAAACATCAGAATATTTTTGGACTATAAGTTTACAGTTCGTACTTCTCGAAATACGTTGTTAGATAGTTTCTGATTCTTTAAACAAGAAAGTCATTGAGCTGAACAGACTTAATATTAGAGAAAGATCTGTGACTGCAAGGAAAATTTTATGAAACTTATCAACTTTAATTTCAAAGACCCCATACTATGTAACATTTTCTTATGTTGCATCAATTCCAATTCCAGAAACAGTATAATATTTTAATATTTTATATAATTTTAATATCTTACTGAAATGCCAGTAAATTTAGTTCACAGCTAGCTTCTTTTCAGAAATTGAAAGTGTTTATGATAGAAAAAAGGATGGTACCACTTTCATTACTCCAGATGTATTGATTGATTTTACTACATGTGCTAATTTTTTGAAAAACGTAGATGACCATAAAGCTACAGGTATTTGATGGCATAAGCACTAAGCTGTTAAATTGTTTATAGTGAAATAGCATCATTTCTTACCCATATATTGAATCTTTGTCTGGATTATCATGATAATTATTGTACCGCTGAATAATTTTTCATGAATTTATCAAGAAATTACAACAAAATTTATTTAAAAAAAAAAAGAAAATGTTTTTCCATCCAGGTTTAATTTACATTGTAAGAAATCAACTTTAAATGCTTAACATTCAACTGATACCTATTTATCATTTGTGTATTGTGACAGTAACTATGATTCCTGGAAAGTAGCGATGTTATAGATAACATGTGTTTCAGGCTGATGTACAACTCTGTTAGAAACAGACATCAGGCCCAATTTGTATAAAACATATCAACTTGAGATTTCCTCAAGTTGAGATTTTCCTCAGCTGATATCTCCTCAAAAACGGCTTGTATAAAATTTTCCCAAGGAACAGGAGGAAGGCATCGGCTAGGATGTCCTGAAATTCTAAAATTCATCCTCTGTAGCCTTCATAAAATACTTAAAAATTTCATGCCAAATATGCGGGGTAAGCAACTGATGTATTTAAAAGCTGACCCCAAAAACATTTAACCATACTTGCCAACTTTTTGAAATTCTCATGGGGGAGAAAAGTACGTGAACGACATTTTCAACTCGGTCGCTCAGTTTCGCGTTATCAGGAATAACCACATCAACATGAATTTGCATAATCCAGTTCTGTTTTATCCTGCAATAAGCCCATGCCATATAATAAGCCCATCCATGTCTTTTTCAGAGATTTAAAAATTCTCTGCCCTACATAAACTATCCCTGCATTCTGCAACAAGCTCACCCCCACATATTGTTCAATATCACTAAACACTGGCTTCCTGGGCTTATTGCAGGGTAAATACAGTAAACGTTCCAATCAAAGCATTTGAGATCACTCTAGTATAGACCTACAGAAATAACAACATTTGATGTTTTAGCTATTTGTTTCATTTAACAAATTTGATCAATTCTTCTACAACAGAATTGAGAAATTAATGTGATTTATTTGCATCAAATGTTGTTTCTTTCTGATGGAAAATTTTAAATAACCAGACAAGTCCAATTGATTTTTAAGTTTTTAATAATCAAATCTTGCATTGATAATGGATGCTTTTTTGTAGAAATAAATTATATCAAAATAGAGGTCTCACTCTGACTCTGAACACAATTCCATAAAGAAAAAAACCAATCACAACAACCTCACAATATAATCTTGCATCCAAACCATTAGAAACATGTCACTAATTTAAATAATTTAATTTTATCGCATAGAAACTCAGTCTAATCTCTGAAGATAGAGGGGGAACATGACAGTTCCTTATTATGTATGTTAAATTAACATTACTTTTGATACTAAAGCCTTTCAAGTTACTTTTGATGTTAAAATCAAATCTTACCAGTGAGGCAAAAACACAACAAATTTCGCAAAATAAAAAGACAAACAAAAGCATTAAATTGCTGTAACAGCAATCTTGGACCTCTTATGTCTACATGTATATGGACTTGAAAATCCTCTCAAAAACAAGATTTTTGAGGAGGGATGCTGTTGCCATGTAGCCATCAGGGGTGGGGGATTGATTTTAGGTCATGCTTCTGGTAACCAGTAAGCTAAAATTCAACTGTGAGTTATCCGCTTGAGCATGTTGAACAAGTTGGTATATACAGATGTGGTTTCATATCTTTTTCCAAAATATCTATAAAACTTACTTGGTTTTCTTGTTTTATCACTCCACCATCCCATGGAAAGCATTATCAAAGACCTGTCAGCTGGTTTTTTTTTTTTTTTCAATTTAACCAATTCATTTCTCATATAAAACACAAGTTCATTCCATTTTTCAAAAATTTATAAAAGATTTATGAAGCAAATCTAAGAATTCTTCATTTAAGAAAGCATCTTTCATTAATCTCACACGTTTTTTTTTTAAATCAAATATCAACTGATCAAACAAAAAAAAACTAACAGACCAAACAAAAAAAAAACTAACAGACACTATTTGATACAAAATATTTATAAGCAAAAACATCTCTCAAAGTGACTTGATGCTTTCAAACATTAAACCCTGATTTTATTTCTCCACATTTTTTTGTGGCAATTAACATCAAAGTTTATTCACAAAGTCTTGCTACTACAATTTGCTACAACAGTATAGTTGTATATTGTCAAAAAGTTTGTTGAAACATGCACATTTTTACATACATATGTACAGCCAATCAGAGCCCTATTATTATGCAAAGCTAGCCAATCAAACCTCTGCTATGTTTGAATTCTATATTTATAAGTTTTATTAAAAACTGAAGAAAAATTACATATCTACTTACCAGGAAAGAAGAAACCTGCATCCACTAGATCATGGGGTTTCAAAAAATGTGTCTCTGGCCAATTCTTAAATGTTTTATGTCTTGTCACACGAATAGCATATTGAATGTATTTTGGGCGGTCAAATGAAACACCGGTGTCATTAACATTATCTGTTTGTTGTGCATATTTTGAAACTTGGTCAGCTGGAGGCCGATTATGGTTTGTCCTCAGTAATGCCTCCCCAGTTCCATTTCCATATCTATTTGGTGTCATCACACTTCCTATCGGAAATCCATTACTTTGGTGAAATGTTGTTGCTGGTTCGTCAAATCCTTCTCTACGCCCATTAACTGGTGCATGATCAACATCAAGATCCTGATAATTTCTTCTTGGTGAGTTATTCATTTTTCATATCATTCAATCAGTCTGATCTTTTAAGACCATATGCATTATGATAGATATTCCTACTTTTTCAGTCTACGATTTTCTGAAACGAAAAACAGATCGCATCAAATTACATCAAAATAGCATTCTAGTATACTTCTTGATTTTAAAATCATGTATTTTTTAAGAAAGAATCACTATAAAAAGAAGAAAACTGAAGACTTCATAAAATCTTATTCATCATATACATTTATGTACATGTACATCTGACATATACTTATTTCAAAAAGAAAATTTCATGCTTAGATTGTTATACATAAATAATAATAATATCAAATTGATATAAATTTTTTTTGTATTAAATCACATAATTTATATCATTTGAGAATCTTTAAAAAAAAAACCATTCAGACTTGGGAATTTCTACTTAAGACTTAGTAATGACATCCTAATGGTGCACATAGGATTCTGGCTATCTGCATGTCAGTGACTAAGCATCATATGACATGATTTAAATACAATTTGTACATGTATTGTTAATTGTTATGTGATAATCATCATTAATACCTAAACATACCTTTCTTTTGATTTTCCATAACAATTACTGCTTAAAGATGATTTCTTGTAAATTTCTAAAGAATACAGGGAATCATTTCCCTCCAGAATTAGAAAAAAACAAAAACAGATCAAGTGCTTCATTGTACTGTTTCCAGTACACTCCTGCACCCTTCCTCCCTAAAGGACACGGAAAAGAAGACTCCACGAATCAGTTAACAGAAATATATAGGCTCTTGACCAGTTTCAAATAATTCAAAATTCAGTATTATACTCCCATGTCACTAGTAATGGGATATTATGTAAGTGTTATAAATAGACTGGAACTTCCAGCTGGTGTGTCTATATATAGGGCCTTGTGTCACGTTACTAGAAATACAATGTAAATGTTATCTAATACTTTAATCTCACATCCACTGTATGTTTGTGTATTTGTCAGTTTACTATAGTGATACTGTTATTTTTTTTTGTTCATACAGTACATACATTTCTCAGTTCACCGTGACAATTTCAAACACCGGCACTTAACTGGAAAACCCAGTAATTTTCCATCAGGGAAGTTATGACAGTAAATACAAACGTTCGGCTTTTATCATTTTTTATTTCTTTTCAACTTCAATAGGCCTGTTAATATTTCATTTGGTAAAACCAGGGACGTTAATAACAGGTTTGTTATCTACGTCCCTCGTAAAACCTACGGGGTTAGAGGGTGTAGAGGGTAATCCCACAAAACAGAAAATCAAGTACACATCTTTGTACAATGGAAAATCAAATATCTGGGACATTTTTTCTCTCCTCATTAAAGAAATCATTTTCAGCAACTCTAGGATACGGTAGAGAATGTAAAATGAAAATTATGTTTACAGCAAAATTAATTAAAGTCGTCCCTAACAGTAACGATACAAAAGGCAGTGTTAACAACATTAGTATTCAGTGCTACATAGGTCACGTTATTTTCTTCATTTATCACGGAATTACCTTCTCGATCTTTTAGAAATGTCTTCTTAAAAGTTTAATACCGTAAAGTTAGAAAAAGACATTAAATTTCTGTATCATTTCCTTGAAATCGCAGAGGGTTGTTATGGACAGATTAATATATTCTATTTTTAGATACACGGCACCCTTTATTCATCACCCTTTCATACTTAAGTACTATTTCAATTTGCATTCAATTTTTGCAATTTGGACATCAAAGGATGAAATGTTTATGATAGACATAGGAAAATACAATATAAAGCATGTTTAATGGGACCTAGTTCGTAGTTTTCTGTTCGAACTGTCGGCCTGACCAGGAATATGAACGCCCAGCTCGTCATGATTGCTTTATAAGTAGGTCACGATCAGTGAATATATTTTCAAGTATTACAGACATTTTGCGTAGGTTAATCACTTGAAGATTTCCACAAAACATGGCACAATTTTCCTTGAATCATATGAATTTTTTTTTTGTGAGTATAGGATATGGGTTTTACCGAACAAAACAAAATATAACCAAACTTACCTATCACGTCATCACCATGAACGCAGAGGGAATTTCCAATGTGCTATTTACATATACACGTAACTTCCGACTCATGGTCTAACATAAATGCAACAAATGTTTGCTTAACAAGTATGTTTTAGACTATATGGTAAATAAACAAGCGATCTGAACATTTAAGCCTTGAAGTTATTTCGATTTTTTTTATTCATAAACATATATGGTGCGTTTAACCTTGATAATGAATAATACTTACTGAGTTAGCTCCCCTTAGTCACTGACGTATCAACAGTAATTCTTCAGTTTATGGCAAAAGGTTTAAATTTCCAATCATATTTCCTATTTAAGGAATATTTTTCCCCTTCAAAAATCACCTTAGTGAAAAATAACACAATGCAAACAATTTATTTAACCAAAGTGAAATAAAACATAATGCGAAAAGGAGTTTGATTACCTTTAGTCAAAATTAATTTCACTTAAGTAAAATAAATCTAATGCACATATCACCTTAAGAGGAAGCAGAATTAAATGTTAAAACGGCTTGCCATACAAATGCCTTTATGTCCTTCGAACCGGTCATAGCTCCACTGTCCACTGAGTACGTATGTAATATATATATATCCCTTTATCATCTATGATGTCACGAATAAGTGGACAATAACCTAATCAATAATATTATGCCAATTATCATCTATGACGTCACGAATAAGGGGACAATACACATGACGTCATAGATTCTTCGCATAGTCACATTGCACTGAGGAGCAGCTAAGCTGTGAAAACGTTATGCAAAATGATTACTTAACTTTTTCTTGTGTGTTTTTTAACAATTTTCTTAATATATATATTACTAATTTAATGTGATGACCAGTTTTAATTAATTAGAACATACTCATACTCTGACTATATCGAATATATATATTCATATTTCTATATACATATATATTTCTAATTTTGACATAGACAGGAGGGAAGAGGACGGAATCCAACTCTTTTTTAATTTAGATTTGGTTTTAATATATTGTAAGTCCGTCTAAATTGCCTTATAGATGATCTCTAATGCTACTGTAGGCTAGACCAGAGACGTATATAACACTATGTTATATAGGTCTCATTCTAGACCCAACCTCTGGCCTGGAAGTATTACTTCATGAGATTCCCACCATTTTAAGTCCCATCCGACGGACTGTCTGTTCGCGGTTATTTTCAGTAAGGTGCTCGCGTTGATATATTGTTGGTGATTGCACATTTACATAAGCATGTTTTCCATATAATTCTGTCTGTCTCTCTGTCACTCTGTAAACTGTTCGCTTTACAATGTCTATAACCGCTCCTTGCATCATGAAACTCAGTCACATTACGACATTTAGATATTTATAGTATGTAAATATGAGGTGAGTATCAGAAGGCTGAAAGTGTTAAAAGGAGTTACTTTTCTTAAGTGGTAAATGAAATAGACATGTCAGTGGGTTAACTATTTGTTCAATAGGTGCTAAATATGGAATAATTTTGAAATTTGAATCTGAAATTTAAAAAAGGGGCGGGTTTGATAGAAAAGAATGCCTACTGAGACAAGTAAGAGAGAGGTGGGCTGTGATGGGGCGGAAGTGGATATGTAAATATGACGGGGGTCATATTTTCCTGATTGGAGGGAGTGGGGCGCACCTGTTTAGATTGCTTGCGATGTATATGCAAGTGACAGTGCGTGTACTTATATGTGTGTTTTATGAGAGAATAGAGTTCTACACATAATTAAGCAGATGACAATGTGACGAGTCTGTAAATCACATATATAAATCCATGTTAGGGCCTTTAGAGGTATATTTGTTGTATACTTCACAATAGAAGGACCGTCCGTATCTCAGGCTACAGTTATAGAGTTCTACCCTGGCTGTTAAATATTTGGAAAAGTAGAGAAAACATGATCGATTTCCAGATTATTGTATAACTCACAGTTTGGTTTAAACTTAATATTGATGTTCGATTTAAGTTTTGTTGTGCCCCCTTAATCTTGTGATAATTTTGTCATCTTATCAACGTATCATTTTGTTTTCCAAACGTTTTTGCTTTGTCTCAGATTTTTAAAATTTCTTTGGTCTTTCCTAATTGTATCCTCATTGTTTTCTATTGTTTACGAATATCAGTGCTAGTACGCTACACACTGGTAATTTATCTGACGAAGGTGACTGTGTACTCATCGACAAGTCACACTAATCTTTTCACTGGTTGCATTGTTATAAAGACTTATATTCTATTGACATTACAAACAAGAAGAAAATGTCCAATAACTACCTGCTTTTGGAATTTTAGAACCATTATTAAAGTATTTAGCATAACCATTATATTTGTCTCCTATGTTTGTCATCGATAATGCTTTGGCTCCAATTGGGTGATTTTTTTCATGACATGGTTTAAGATTTTCGTAATCAATTTCATGTTTACTGTGAAACAAAGACTGTATTTTATTGTAACTGACAGATTTTGTAGGGATTTGGCCAAGTTAAAGAGAGGGGTTCATTAGTCCAGAGGCAGGAAAGGTCTGTATATCCAAAACCTGACTTTGTTCGAGCTTTATAAAATATAAAGAACCAAGTAATAATATATGATTTAAAGTTATAGAAAAAGGTGAATTCGTATACTTTGAAAGTGACAACATATCTGTTTACATACAGTTATATACATCCCTGGGTGATAAAACTTATCTTTTCAGTGATATCACCACGACAATATGTATTCAAACTTTCCAGGTGATATCGCCATAATAGATAACGATAGGCGATATCACTACCGTCCTGTGATATCGTCATATCATTATGTATACAGAAAACGATTAGGTAATATCACTGAAATGAATTAACGATAACCCCAAATTAATTCAGATATATAAATCCCCTAAGGAATGGGTGATATCATCAGTAACCTGTTCATTAGGAAATATCACTAAAAATATCACCTAAGGAATAGGTGATATCATCAGTAACCTGTTCATTAGGAAATATCACTAAAATATCACCTAAGGAACAGGTGATATCATCAGTAACCTGTTCATTAGGAAATATCACTAAAATATCACCTAAGGAACAGGTGATATCATCAGTAACCTGTTCATTAGGAAATATCACTAAAAATATCACCTAAGGAACAGGTGATATCATCAGTAACCTGTTCATTAGGAAATATCACTAAAAATATCACCTAAGGAATAGGTGATATCATCAGTAACCTGTTCATTAGGAAATATCACTAAAAATATCACCTAAGGAACAGGTGATATCATCAGTAACCTGTTCATTAGGAAATGTCACTAAATTTACTTGTGGTTCACTTCAGTGGAATAAAAAGCAAAACGACATCTCATTGGCTATATGTTACTTGTGATGATATTATTACATTAAGTGATATCATTATAATCAATTTGTGATATCACCTCATTGGTTTAGCGATACTAAATACACTGTTGTCTATGTATAAGTTCTATTGAACACCATATCACAGATAAATACGGGATTTTCAGATTACATATGCATGCTTTTACATTTGTGATTGGATATCGGGCTTTCCCAGTTTTGATTCATATTAAACGTGTGAATGGCTGAGGTGTACCTTAACTTTATTCTAGATACATAAACTAGTGCACTCA